AACCCAAGGAGGGGTCGCTATGAGTCGGGGCTGGCTCGATGGCAAATAACAACAACAACAATAACAACATTGACAAACAGAAGAGATCTAAAGTTAATATTAAAAAAGAGCTTAGAAAGTGAGACACAAACCCATGCTCTTCTTGTCAAGGTATGGAATCACAAATGTTCATGAAAGTTGTCTTGTGATAGACCCAAAAATGACCATCCTGTATAGACAATAATAAGAAGCTCTGGTTGCACGTTCTGTGAGGCATCTGACAGCTAACCAGAAGGTTCAGGGTTCAAACCCACCAGCCATTCCACAGAAGGAAGCCTGGGCATTTTACTTCCATTAAGATTTACTGCCTTGGAAACACAATGGAGGTTGCTATGAGTCAGAATCAACTTGATGGCAGTGAGTTGGTTATAAAGAATAATATAGCTTATATTTCTTCAACCAAAAGCCAAACCAAACTCCCTGCCGTCAACTCGGATCCAACTCATAGTGACCCCTCTATGGGTTTCCAAGGTGATATCTCTATGGAAGTAGAATGCCCAACCTTTCTTCACAGGAGTGGCTGGTGGGTTTGAACCACCAGCCTACTGGTCAGCAATTAAATGCCTTAGGCACTATGCCAACCAGAGCTAGTCTACAGTAAAATGGATTAATCTTCAGAGAAAACCCTACTATCCTCAAAATTCAAACTATGAAGTACACTATAAATTTTTTCGCCCTTTTTCTTAACTCACAGTTCAAACTAACAAATCAATGGTTTCAACTCCATTTGCTCATCTGAAAAGAAAAGCAATCATTCATCTCTGGTTGAGGAGACACAGCCCTGTAATAGGAATCAGGAGAGCAATGTCTAAAATCATAGCTTTCACACGTGAAATTTGTGATGACTATAAGCCTCTCAATTTCTCTGAACTAGAAACAGGAGAATATACTCATCACAAGAAGCATTTGGCAGCTATCAAAAGTTTGGCACTTAATGAATACTTGCACATTATTTTTCAATAATAAGTTGAATCAATATGAGAACAGTGAGTTTACTGTGCATATTCAATCCAATTTTATTTGATTATTGTTGTTGTGCTTGTTATGTGCCATCAAGTCAGACCCAACTCATAGCGACCCCTCCTTGGGTTGCCTGTGGATAAACTCAGGTAATAGTTGACAGGCTGATAGATACTAAGACTTTCCCTATGACACACGAATAATAACTGGAGCAGAAGATTCACATACACATTGTTCGTCACTGAGGCCCACCCACTGACCATTTTCACTCTGATTCCTCATGCTTCCAAATGTTTAAAGGAGAAGTCCAGAGAACTTAGCTAGGAAAGAAATCCAATATAATGTCTATAATTCTCCCTTTGAGATCTATTGTGGCTAAATAACTGGGGTGAAGGATAGCGTGGACAGCTGAGACAAAACACAGGACAAAGGGCAGAGAGAGATCTGTTCTGAATTATCATCTGCCAAATCCTCATCCCGTGTATTACAATCATCCTTCTGGTAGTCGAGGTAGCACTTCTATCCACTGTGGTCTACCGGAAACCCCACACAAAAGACACTGTGAGCAGGTAGTCTAACCCTGGACAGATCAGGGAAATGAAATGGCAGAGTGAGTGGGTGGGGAACAGTATAGCCAGGTGCTTTGTCACTCGTATCGCACAACCCATAGTGTAACCTGGATTATAACTTTTCTGGCCATGACTTGATACAAGTTTAAAAAAAAAAAAGCTATGTATGTTTCTCTTCTTTGAAATGCAAATGATATGTGTTGCTCTTTTCTGGGTGTGCTTGTGCAGAAAATGGGGGAAAAAAGTTCCAGAGATAACTGAGCTCACCTCCTAACACTGAGCAGCCTTCAGCATCATGCATGACTCTCATCATCCTCTTCATTTTCCTTATCATTATCATCTACATTTTTTTTCCACAAGATCACTTTGAGGTATTTGGGAGACAGAGGAGAGAGACACAGGAGGAAGAACCAATGTAGAAGAATTTAAATCTCTGAATGAGCTTCCTTGGACCTCTACAACAGCTGGGAACAGAAACTTCACAGGCCTCTGCTGAAACTTAGCCTTTCACAGTATCTCATCTGACCTTCGCAATTAGACTGCTTGCCCTGACGAGGAGGAAACTGTACTCCTCAGCCCCTCTGTGTCCACTGAGTCCCACAGCACTCACTGCATTAAACTATGACTCTGAAGCATACCAAGGAGTGTGGGTCCACTGCACCTCCTTTGTCTGGTTGCTGATGAGGGATGAAGCTCCTTCCTCACGACTGCAGGAAGGGAGATTCGAGCTTGGACCTCCTGGGGAAGATGACCATTCTAGATGAGAGACACTGTGAAGCTCACTCTAGATGAGAAACAATATGAAGCTTGCTGGACTGGGATGTGTACACTGAAGACCGCAAAGGCACAGGCAGGTTATTTACAATTCAATTACCTTGAGAGCTAAATGTCCAGAGCTCCCAATTAGCCAAATTGGTCCATATCACTCCATTCTCTGATGGCTTTTTAATATTAATGACACAGGAAGAGGTGGAAGTCAATGTATTTGGTATCTGGGCCTTCCCATTCTAAGCAGGAAGCCTGCCTATGTTCATCACATCTAACTTCCAAGATGTACAGATCTTATTATCAAAATTGGACACTTATAAAAATTGATGGAAAAAAGCAGTTTATTATTACATATTCTCAAGAACTCTGTACTATGCACATATTAGATGAAGAAGAATGTGGTACTGGGATTGGAGGAATATTCATTAACAAACTGTGATATGCAGATGCTACAACGTTGCTCGCTGAAAGCCCAGTGCTCCACCAACAATAATCAAAGGACCATAATATACCAACAAATGGCCCATAT